AATTCTCTCCATATTCGCCCTTTTTCTTCATTACGATCGAAAATCTCCCATTTAGAAATAAAATAAAATAAACTCAACATCGTGCGAACCCGATAACAATATTCCTTCTGGCCTATTTATTGTTAGTTGCCGCTTCGGGGTCCTTAATCCTCGACCAAAACCCCCTCCGAATGCTTGAGATTCGACGGTGACGGAGACGTCCCCCGGTTTAAATATATATCCCCTCAAATCGCCGCCCCGACCGGAAACCATCCACACATTCATCTAACTTGCCAACATGGCGAGCCTCGACGGCATCCTGATCGGGATTCTGTCGTCCTTCGGCTCCGCAATCTTGATAGCACTGATTTTCCTAGTCGTTTATTTCTTCAGATATACCACTTCCGGCCGTATCTTTCTCGATCGGATTGGTCGACCCGGTGAATATGATGATGAGCAAGCGTTCGCCAGGGAAGAGGCGGAAGCCTTGGAGTCTATGGATGACATGCAGAGGACGGAATATCTAAGAGCAAAAGGTATATGATATCCTTATCGCACACCAACTGCGTTGATAGCTTCTTCATCATCAAGAATCATGTATTGACAACTTTCTAGCCTTTATACAAGCGAACCCACCCGACTCGCTCCAGACGGATATTTCTTTATCGCAATACTTAGCCATACAGGAGAAGGGAGTTTCGGCGTGGGAGTTTGAACCCGAGCTAGAAATCGCCAACTGTTTCGTCGAGGGAAGAACCGAGATCGAGTTCTTCGATTCCGAATGTACAGTTATGAGCAATTTGCCCGTACCAAAACAGAACGAGGTTTACTACTGGGAAGCCAAGATTTATGACAAGCCAGACGCTACGTTGTTGAGCATCGGAATGAGCACGAAACCTTATCCGCTCTTCAGGCTTCCAGGTATGCGATTCTGGTCAAGTGGTCAAATTCAGTGTTCTCGAGGACTAATCCTAACGTTTCAGGTTTTCATAAATATTCCGTCGCATACACATCCGTAGGTGCCCGACGATACAACCAACCTTTTCACGCAACACCCTACGGACCTCATTATGTTCAAGGCGATGTTATTGGCGTCGGTTATCGGCCCAGGACTGGAACCATTTTCTTCACCCGCAACGGTAAGCGCCTGGATGATGTAGTCCATGGCCTAAAAACGCCGAATTTCTTCCCATCCGTCGGCGCAAATGGACCATGTACCGTACATGTCAATTTTGGTCAAGCTGGATTCGTATTTATTGAAGCGAACGTGAAGAAATGGGGACTGGCCCCTATAACCGGTAGTCTAGCACCGCCGCCACCCTACGGAAGCGAACAAGGAAGTATCCTACTGGAAACCGGACGCAGGAAAGACGAATATTCCGGATCCCCATCGAGAGGTCATGGATACACCCAGTCGGTTCAGAGATATAATAACAATGGCCTATCTTTAGACCCAGGTCATGGGAGGACGAGAAGTGGCAACTTCAGAGTGCTTCCGCCGACGAGCCCAGGACCGCAGAGGAGTCCTACTGATATTTCTCTTGCGCAACTGGTTCCGTCGGACGAAATAGGCGAGGCAAGCAACACTATTGATGCCACAGGAGACCACATCATCGATGTCGTTGGATTAGGCGTCCACGAAGCCTCCCATCCCCCTCCTGAATACACCAGTCCCGAGCATTCAGATGAGGAAAGTTCCGGTAGCGATAGCGATCGAGCTCCATTAATCAGATCCGGCCGTAGCCGAGGTGCATCTGCAGCCACCCTGAGACCGAATAATCCACCGATTCCAAGTTACAGTGATGCCGTTCGACAAGGCGCTGGTAGGGACAGAAGCCGTAGTGAGAGCGCAATGCCGCCCAGGAGGAACGGCAACTGAACCAATCGGATATGGCAATTTATGTGTGCTCATACCACTTGTCTATATGTAGTTCACGGACAGCGAAAATATGATTTCATCACATTCGGTCAACTCAATACGGAACGGGGAGTTTTACGGTCAGGGGGGAAGGGAACAACAGACATTTAAGGCGTTTATCATACGCACAGTTTCTTACTTGTTTCTAGGCTACGACAAACCTCATTGGCATTGGGTCAGGTGATACTTGTTAACATGATACCTCAAGAGAAAAACTCTTCTTTTTTGTTTTTTTATTCGCATTGTTAGCGGCATAGGAGGAAAGGGACGGGAGGATTAAATCAGGGTTTCGTCCAGGAAAGCAAGAAAGAAAGGGACTCGAAGAAAAAAAAGGAACGTGAAGTCACGTACCAGGGCTGGAACCGCACCCTCCAGACCGGGAGTTAGAGAGGACGTATCTGCGGACAATGTCATATACACATACCTACTTACACCACGGTTGATATAAACATGTTTATGCACTGCAGCTTTGGCTCTTGGTAGCTCGTAGTTGGCTTACCACACAGTGCCTTTTGATTCCGGAGTCTGCATTTCGTATGTAAGGGGTCGCCAACAATCAACGAGGATTAGACTGGTATAAAACATGTGGTTCAATTACGAGTTAATTCATCTATCGTTGCTCTGTATTTTCTTCATTTCTCATGCCCATCTTTAATATTTCGCCTTCAGGATCTCTCGTTCACCTCACATTTGTAGGGTTCCCTTGTCTTATTGCTCCCTTTTGTTGCCCTGAAATGTTGAAAGCCTTTCCTCTTCGCGACACTGGCGCTGCTAGCCACATATCCGTCTAATAAAATGCATTGCAAACGCCTCAAGCAATATGAATTCTCACCCTAGATACCCCTGAGTTTGCTTTTAGGTAGCCTAAAGACCTTTGGCCGCCTTATCAACCAAGGCGAAGCACAGTATTCTAAGCTATACACACCACAGATGCCATCGTTCGCTAACACCGATATAGCCGTCATGTTTTCCGAGGTGCATGAGGCTCTCAGGCGCTCTACCCGAGTACTTATGTTTGTTTATATTAGCTCTATTGACCGCCCCATGGTCCTTGTCAGTAGTCACGAAGCTGCTGTGCAGACCTTTGAATTCTCCAAGTGTTCTCTAAGAAATATCCCCAAGGCGGACCTAGGATATTTGGACTATCCAACTCCATGTTGTCTGCTTATGGCACAATAAGTGAAAAGTCCTTCCTAATAGGTACAATCTGGCTTTTGTATCTCAGCATCTTGTGGCAATAGTCTCAGCAGGAGATTTTTGACTTTTACTGATCACATTGATACCTCGACCACATCTATAACAAATCTACCTAGTTTTCAATAGCGTCGACGCTGTTATCGTGGATTAATCTGGGACCCAACCCAATACCTGCTTGTCACGCCAAAACAAAGTAGTACAACCCTATATTGAACTCTTCTGTCGGTGTATTTGGATAACAGGGTATATGTTCCCTGCTACAAGTACACCGAGCGAAGTATTCTATCATTTGGTCTTCAAAGTACTAATCGTCTTTCTCCCAAAACGGGTCAACGAGACACGCAATCTGGTAAAAACATTTCATAAAAATCACGATGCTACTAGTACTACCCTCTGTCAGATCTTTTCCCGGCTCTCCTGGGTTGTTGTCCAGCTCGCCCTCGGGGTCCGTGTCTCTAATTACGGCGATGATGACTTTATCCAAGATGTCAAGATCTGTGCGGACCTCCTTAGGGAGACGAGACCTTGTTTGAGGTTTAGCTTTCCCCGACGAGTACGGGCGGCGATGGGGCAGGTAGTGATCGTATGTTGGTGTCATCATGTCGAGGTCTCTGCTAGCTACTTTTATTAGAGGTAGTTATCTTATTGGAAAGCAACTCGACATAGCTTTTGTCAACCAAGCTTCCTCTTATCAACCTGCATCAATTATTGTTGATATGTTGAATTGTCATAGTACCAGAGGAATAGTGGTCGGCTTCATCATCTTGATTCCTAGTGTAAGCTAGAGAATAGTTAGTGTTGAAGTTTAAGGATTGTTGTTTTATAAGAATCTTGTATATACCTGTACAGTCTATAGGAGTGATGACATGCTTGTCCCGGCTCCCTCTATTTCTCCCTCTTGACGATAGAAAAGGTCCTTCGTGTTAGACCATGGAATCGTTCCACGGCATCGACCGAGTTGTAGGCTTCGGCTGGGACTTCTTTGATGAAGATATCCATAGCTTTGCTACTTGCCGCGAACTCCTCCGTTTGTGCGAAATTGGTTCCCGCGTCGAATGTGCACCGAGAAGACAAAAAGGAATAGTATGTTGTGTGCATAGTAAAGGGTCACGCCGCTCTCATTACTTCGGCGGTTTGGACCAGAGTCTTTGGCTTTGGGGCAGTGATGGGTTGTTCTACCATGCATCGCGCAATACCAAATGAAATGATATCGCCCTTGGATTATCTTATGTGCTAAAGTGCTTTGGATATGTCGATTTTTGCCTGTTAATAGATAAATCTACCTCTGTAAATACTATTACCTGTTTATTATGGCTACTGTTGTTCAGTATCGTCGTTACTCACCAGAGAAGGAATCTGAAGATATTTTGTTGGATCGTATATGAGATATCCTATATTACATACAGACTCTCTACGTATCTATTATATAAATTTAATAGTGGCATAGAGAAGTTAGACCGCTGTGTGTTCTAGAATCATGATGCGCGGTGTCGATAGCAAATCTCGGTAGCCGTCTTCAACTCCTTCAGCATATCTAAACTGAAGCATGGTTCTACTTATGATTTACCGCCCTGATCTGAGTAACAGAAAGACTATGATAGACATAAGGACATATTATATAAATCATAGGTAAAATAAAAGTCAAGACTTTATTACAAATTACTTCAGTGTCGTGGGTAGATGCCTACTTATCTTAAATCCGATACACCTACCTTGAAGGTTCGTTTCTGTAGGTACTCATGTCTGATCAAAGGAAACTCATACAAGTGGTCAAACCCGCGTGATCTCACAAACCAAACATGCATCTTCTATTTGGCAACATTGTTGCTAGTTTGACTGTTCTATAGAAAAAAAAAAAGAAACAGATTGTTAGATAGAAAACAAAATGAAGAAATCTTTTTTTTTTTGGACGAGCAGGGGATTGAACCCTGGACTTCTCGCAGTCTTCCTAGAATAGGTGCAAAGCGAGCGCTCTACCACTGAGCTACACGCCCCTCGATTGATTTGGGTCCGTACGGAATAACGTTGACCCTAGTAGTTCGCTCTATATACTCAGACACTCAATTGACCTACGTGTAGATGGGTCACCTAAACTATTGTAAGTTGTTTTGTTTTAGTTTGTGAACTAGACCAAGACATGAGATGGATGGGACTGGGGATGTGATGGCTTCGTATACAGTCGTTTAAGTGATGGTTTATCAGAAATATCTCTTTACCAACGATATGTCCTCCATGAGAGTGACATGCAATAAGTCTTGACGACATTCCATCGTCCCTTGGACTACAAGTGCATGCTTGAATGCAGGAGACCATCGGTTCAATATCCCTGCTGGAGCCCATCGTGTCATAAGAAACGGAAGCACTCGTCCCATCTCATCTACACATACATTGGCGTCCCGGTCATAGCATACGAATAGAGGATGGCTCTTCCATGCAGTATTTTTTAGGCCATGTACATTCGATGATCCGTCCCCTTTTCAATCCTTTACCGGCAATTTCACCCCATCGTATCTTTAGATCAGACGAGTGTGAGACCGACTCATATCCTCTTGAATGACTAGCCCGTCTTCAGAATACGGGATGTGAGAGATCCAGAAAGACCTGGAGACTCGGAGTGAGCAGTGTATACAGGTGAGATCATTGGATGATGCAGCCAGACCTGATGCCATACCTACCTACCTAGGTATGTTTCAGCAGAACATAAGGTCGTCGACAGAGCAGCTTACCTACTAGTCCGATCCCAACACCACGGGCGCAAGTCCCGAAAGAGGTCCTTAGCCGCACTTGCTCATCTTCGCAGACCGGGTAAGCTACATAATTGGCGCCTCTTGGACCAAGTGGATGTGTAGATACGAGAGCTTCATGAAAAACACGTCTATCAACTACCGCGATTGGTCAAGATCTCTTTTTAGGCGCCCAGGTAATAGAGCAGTTCTCCACGATGGAGGAAACATATGCCGGGACATGGCCTTTCGACAGTTTGTGTTTCGAGGCCTCCATACCCTCATCGACGATTTCGTATTGGCTCGAATCTTCCGCTATGGATCATGTCTGTTGAGACGGGGAGTATTGCATGTCGACAGTGGGTTCGACGATATGTTTTGTCATAGCGCACGCACCATGTTACTTGCCGGCCTGAGGAGTCTTTCACTCTGGGCTCGGGCTTGAAACGACGATAGTTACGATCGCATACCACCCTAATCCATTATGATTGTTTTCCCGATACCATGCTTATACTTTCAGCCGCGGGATGTCGCATTGGGCGGCGGCCCTAGGCGGAGGAAGGATGCGACGGCGTCAATACGAATTCATCCGCGAAAGAGAAAGCACTCTATCTACTAGGAATCACCGTGACGCCGGAAATGGATTCGTTGATCATCTCATCACCCTCGACAAGACAATGTTTTAGCGTCCGCGCTGCAGTTAATGGTGAGCCTATACTATCTGATGGCCAACGATGATCCCAAAGTTTGAGGCGAAGTGAAGTAACGTTGGATTAGGGTGAGCGATCGTCGGGAACCCTTCCGCAATATTGTGCATGCGGTAAGTACCGCGATACCTATGTGCGCTGATGGGGGGTGCCCGGGGGGAAAACAAACAGGGTCCAATTGGGGCCGTGCAGCAAGCACCAGGACGGCCTGTCAGATCCTTCTGACTTGACGAGATCCCCGGTACTGGGACCTCTCTAGCGCGCATAAACTCCATCCGGTAGTGCTCTCACGCCTACTACACGCATGAACGCGTAAGTGGGTTTTGTTTATGAAAATGTCCTGTAGATAGGGAGCGCTCGGGTCTGGGTTCTGACATAATTCGCTGTCTTTCAACGTATCCCGTGCCCAATCACCACCTCTTGTTGCTTAGGGGCTTGAGGAAAGCCATCGGGACTTCGTCGGTGTGGCTTTGGCCGGTGCCAGAAACAAACGGCGTCTGTATCCCTTGATTTCCCCTCCAATGAGGTGCGCTTTGCTCGATCGCGGGAATACGTAAGACTGGTGGGCTTAGACTGGCGCGACTCCTAGTCAGCATTCGTCATGCTATTATTATTATTGCTTCTGTTCGCGACGACGGTAAAAAAGTGAATATCCGCTCGGCTAATTTTCTGCGTCTCAGTAACATGGGGGTCCGGGGATGGTAGACCGGCGGCTTCTTCATCTTGAGCAAGTATAGTAAGTGCCGTCTCCTTGCATGAAGCATTGCAAGGCTGAGCGATGGTTTAGGGACATTGTGAAATTGCTTTCTAACATGAATCTTCCAATACCAATGTGGGATTTCCTTCTAGAAGAAATTCTAATAGCCTATTCACATGCAAGGGTCTGTGGTCTGCCCACCTGCGCTAGACACCGGTCAAAGCTTACAGCGAGATATGATCGAGGGACGGGAGCTCTCTCGGCGCTTATGCTGCAAGATTCTAAATATACCACTTAGCTATTCGACGGGAATTGTATATCGTGCCTATTATTGATGCAGTATGGGGTTGCCCTCGACCATCGCTCCGGGGATTTTCGCCCCCAATGCGGCAGACTTAGCGAGCTGAAAGAGCCCCGTGGGAACGGGTTGGGAAGAATTGCCGATGCAATGGAAATAGAGTCAACGGGTTCCGGGCTCAGGTGAATACGACCTTGAATATCGTGCGTCATCTAAACTTGCCAATCAGTCAACAGAAGTACTGTTTTGCTTCACATCTTACTGAGCGATATCCTACCTTTCGGGTTGTTGGATGTTCTGTTCGTGTGGGATACCTGTTGCTCAAAGGGTGTTTAGCTGGGTAGGTACCAGTAGACATGCCTTCATGGGTCGAGTTTTACGAAGCGATACACAGGGTGCGTGGGATTGTAATAGTAATGGTACTGGTAGATGCCGAATTTATCAAGCCCGCAGCGTCGCTATGCCCACAGTAAGATACTAAAGGACTTGACATTAAAGCGACATACCTAAAATCTGGAAATGAAGTTAGACGTGTAATAGGCAGGCTAACCTGGGATTTGAACCTCTTCAAGTAGTGGCTTGATGGAGAAGATAGAATGCTACTTAGATCGTCGTATTATCATTGTGAGACCAATGTTTGCAGATCTATCTGTCTACTGGTAAGAAGGTGCTTATAGCGGAGCTGATCTTAGTGTCAGATCTGCTTACAGAGAAGTTGCTTTTGTGGCACGTTCGAAGACGACATTTACGTCTACAATATGAACTTACAAGAGAATAGAATCGGGGACTTGACATCGTGATAGTAGATAATGTCCTGGTATATTTTCTGATGTGCCGTAGGCTAATACGTCTTGGTTGCATACTTGTGGTATTGTCACTATCATGATATGTGGTCCTAGGCAAGGTCAGCGGTCCTGATCATATCTCAGGGGTCGACTGGATTCTTGTGGGATATACTAAAAAACTTAGGGATGCCTCGATAATTCTTTGGTGCATGCAAAGTCTGGTCATATCTTGCGAGGGTTACCCCTATCGAGCTTTACTCGGGCTATACATATCTTACGACCGGACGTATTGGAGTCATGAGTGATCTAGTAATGTTTCTTGGCTAGATTACGTTGTTGGCAATCCGAGCTTCCCGTAAAGACGAAGACTGCCATTGAAGTAAAGCCAAGTCCCTATGTTCAAGACTGTATGAAGCGGTGAGAAGTGATACAATAATTACCGTCGTGATACTCATGTCCCACGGAAACAACATGGCTTCTTTACTGCGCTTTAGATACGTGGTGCGTAGGGAAACCGCAGCAATCATGACGCGGCGCGAAAGTTGGAAAGAAAAACGCGTAGAGCTTGTTAAACGTTGCATGTCTGATCCAAGGGCTGCGGCCCTAGAGTATTGTGGGCAGGCACTATTGAAGCAACCAGGTACTCCATAGGACAGGTTCACTGCGTGCCGGGAATTAAACAGCGATACACAACATCTAGAGAGATATCTCTGATGCGACTGCGGCCGCTTGGATGCGTAGGTAGGTAGGTAAACAAGGCCCAAATGGGTAGGATTGCGTTGGCGCCTCCTTGCTTAGTCGCCCTGTAAGGCAGTGGGCACATTAGGGTCCCACAGCCATCTCAGCTTTTCTGCACGAATGCGAAAATCGCACGAAATTTCAGGATTGCCAGCGATGATCGAGAAGGCAATGTTGAGAAGCATCCAGCCGTGGCCAGATCGGTCACCGGGCACGGCGAAATGCTGGACGACCATGCTAGCTCACCAACTCGTCTTTTCCTTGATTTCTTGGCTATCTGGCCATCGAATAAGAGGTCGATTTCCACTGATATTCTTCTTGTTCACATCGCACTACATGTTAGCTGTGCTATAGCATCTAGCCGGGTGTCGCATCACCTATGTGGAACATAAGACAGCCATACACCTTTCTGTCCCGTCCCTCTGGGTCGAACGATGGGTGGAGCGTTAGGGTTGGAAGAAAGGGGCGTTATACATAGCATAATGCGACGGACTTGGGTTCGAATTCCGGAGTCCGAGGCGGCAGACGGCCATTGTGTCATTCAACTCTTGCGACCAAGGAGATATCCGAACAACGGCTGTGCCAATATTTAGGTACAAGATGCAAGTTTTCCAACGTTAGCTCCCGACAAGTTCATGCTTACCGATTGCTTTGTGCCTTGATATTCCCACTTGGCCTCCCACTAAAAGGGCATTACTGCCGGAGCCTAAGCTGCTTTAGGCATTAATGCGTGGTCTTTAAGACATTAACTCGGGGATTGTATGCATAACATACTTTAATTTAGGTGATTAACCTTAAGTGATTATCCTATAGCAGCTACGTACTTTTGCGTCGAGGTGTAAGAATGTCGTTGCTGAGTTAAGGGATGAATGAGAGAAGCTTTAGGAACTCGGTCCGATAGCAATAAACAAATCAAAAGGCAAACATGATCTTGTTGCAAACAAAACGCCAAGTCATCTTCGATTCGGCGAAAATGTTGAATGCAGCAAAGAAGATACAATACATAAAGCGGTGATGATGATGATGATGGATGATGGATGATGGAT